TTGCATTCTCTTAATGAATAGAATGATTTGTTCTAATGGTGTTTATAAATGGGATCACAAGTCCGCATCTTGTACAGCAATTAACTACTAAGAAGAATATATGCAGTGTATTATTTGTTGAAACTGTCCTTCCGATATGATTTGAAACTGTCTCATTGCTATCTGTTTGTCAATAAAACTTTGAAAAAAAAAAAGAAAAAAAAACACCCAAAAGCCAGAAAATATTTAAAAAGAAGCAAATGAGTAGAATGACATTCCTACAGCTGAAAATACTTCAAATGAGGAACAATTTTAATGTTAACATTTAAAATCAGAGCATTCCTTCATAATCTAATAGTGAGAAGACTTTCTGACTGTGGCTAAAATTATGCAATCCACAAAAGAAAAAAATTGGATATATATGGCTACATGAAAAGAAGTATCATTGTGCACAACAAAAAAGTTCATTCAGGCCAGGAAGATCGCTCCATGGAATAAGTGCTTCCCTGGCAAGCACAAGGCCTGAGTTCAATCCTCAGTTCCATAAAATAAAATAATAAAATAAAATAATAAAATAAAATAAAGTATAATAAAATAAAATAAAATAAATAAAATAAATAAAATAAAATAAAATAAATAAAATAAAATAAATTCCCTGATAATTCCTAAACCCAGTTTCCCATGAAGGCGGAGCACTGACTTCAGGCTAGGTAATGTGGCTGGGGGGGTCAGTCTAGGGGCACCCTTGATGGAAGGCCACAACTCAAAACACAGGGCTATCTATGCCTCATCCACCTCCTGCTTCCCACCTCAGTCTTTAGGATGTGGCTGCCTGTGCTCATTTCTGAGGCATGGGTCTCACCACATAGCTGGGACATCTCCAACAGCTGAGTCTGCTCAGCAGCTGCCTGGGTATTTGGTAAACACACTTAACACAATGGAACTGCACACTTAAAAATGGCTAAAGGGCCAGGGATACAGCTCAATACTGGTATGTACTTACTGTCAGTGAAGCCATAGGTTGAAGTACCAGCACTACACAAACAAAAAACACCTAATCATGACATAGGGAAGAACAATTATCTCCATCATTTCATAGAACCAGAAATAGATGTTCTAGGTCACATAGTCCCAAAATGGTTGATAATACATATTTTTAAGATCATCGTCTTTATATTTTTGTGATAGGGTTTAATCTGTAAGGAAAGACAGATGATACTTGAACTATACCAGGCAACAGGCATGTCAATTAATGAAGCAAGCAAAAATGTAAATTTTTAGGTATCAAGTGTCTTAATTACTTTGCACAGAAAGCTTCTTTCTTCTTCTTCTTCTTCTTCTTCTTCTTCTTCTTCTTCTTCTTCTTCTTCTTCTTCTTCTTCTTCTTC